CAAGCACAAAAAATCTGGTTCAGATCGGATGACGTTTTACTGATATACAATTGTTGGAATAATCTAGGGGGCGCACTTGAGTCATATGTTAAACTACTATCCCAATGTGACTAGAAGTGCTCACTGATTATGCACAATAAATCTGGCACATATCGGATGATGTGCAGTGTTTCCCCTACCATTATACAAGCGGGGCGCCTCGCCCCATCAACAGAACTGAGCGCCCCGTCTACCGAACCCCACCCACCTGTCAACACTGACGTAATTTTCATTTAGCCTTTATTTATCCAGGTAGTCTCATTGAGCCACGAGAACTCATTTTCAAGAGAGACCTGTTTAGGGAGCAGATGGTGGGGGTTAAGGGCCTTGCTCATGGGCCCAGAGTGGGGCGAATGAGGGTGGAGGCAAGTGTGGGTGTTTCACCTACCCCACCCACAATTTTTTTGATGTTGTCGGGGCCGGGGCATGAACCGGCGGTCTTCGGATCACAGGCCCACCTCTCTAACCTCTGCGCCACCACTCCCACAAATGCTAATGTAATGTAATGCTAAACTAGTGGCTTGCAATGCAGGTGCACCAGCTCAAAAGCTAAAGGTAGCCTCTTCCTTCATGTTGAACCCTCACGCTGAATGTACCCCCACCACTCGAAAACTGTCTCCCCCTTGCCGGCCCCAAAAAACCCCCAAAAACTGTCGGTTCAGACAGCGCGCGGCTACGATGTCCCTGTCTCTTTCCTCTCACACACCCTGCTCTAAAACTGTCAGTGCAAACAGCGTGAGGCTGTCTGTGTCTCCCCCCCAAAAACAGTTGGTTTAAACAGAGCGCTGCACAGCTTAGGACGTATCTTCGTCCGTCCCCCCACAAACAAAAATCACGGACGAGATGAGTGCCCCGCCATGGCAAGTTATCTAGGGGAAACACTGATGTGTCACTGAGATATGACTGTTGGAATAATCTAGGGGCATATTGGAGTCACAAGTTAAACAACAATATCAACGTGTCTATAAATGCTCACTGATGACGCACAAAAAATCTGGTGCAGCTCGGATGTTGTAGCACTGAGCTATAACTTTATGAATAATGTAGGTGGCACTGTGGAGGCTATTGGCCACTTATCATGGATTCCTGTTCAAGGGGTGGATAATGATCAATCATAGTGATTTTGGTGCACCTTGGCTCAAATCTGTGCAATTTAGAGCCAAACGTATTGCAACAGTCTCAATTCTTAATTCTTTACACTGCCACGCCCACATCCTCCAGCTAAAACTAGTTGTAATTTAAATCAAGTCAGACCAACTTGTTATATGTTTTCTAACACAGGATCATCCTGATTAGGTCAAGGGTGTCAGAGAGGGAGCATTCCAAGTAAAAGAAGTAACTTCCTGTTCTGAGGCGGTGGGGCTTGGATGACGTCAGAATATGACCACAGTGGTTCGTCGGGCATCCAACAGGGATGACTCATGCCAAGTTTTTTGCATTTCGGTCTTTCAATGTGAAAGTTATAGCATTTGGAAATGAACGGCCTGAAGTGCAACTTTACGGCCTGGCCACACCCCTTTAACATATACAAAAACGCAAGCTTTTGATAACTTTTACTCCCCAGTGTTTTAAGGGCATATCAACCAAGTTTGAAGGCAATCCTTCAAAATCCGTAGGAGGAGTTCGTTAAAATTTGCAATTAGGAATGCCCCAAAATGACCTTTTGACCCCAAATGGCTGACTTCCTGTTGAGTTTGGACCAGAGTTCCAAGAGACTTTTTCATAGGTCCTAAGAAGATACATATGTACACTGAGTTTCAGAATTAAATGGTCAAAAATGACTTTGTGCTTAAGTTTTACTATATTCTAGGGTGCGCTGTGGAGGCTATTGGCCACTTATCACGGCTTCCTGTTCAAGCGGTGGATAATGATCGATCATAGTGATTTTGGTGAACCTCAGCTCAAACCTGTGCATTTTAGAGCTAAATGTATGGCAACGGCGTTACGTCTTACTTTGCGGCGCCGCCCACATGCTCCACCCAAAACTGTCAGTGTTGGAAAGCAAGTTACACCAACATGTCTTCGGTCATTGGACACACTATCATGCTGATTAGATCACAGAGGCCAGATAGGGACCGTTCAACGTAAAACTTTACATTTCCTGTTGTCAGGGGGCGTGGCTTAAGTGATGTCATGATTTGACCATTCAGTCTTTCAGGGGATCAGATGTGGATCAATCACTTAAGGTTTGATGTCTCAGACAGACAGTTTTCGTGTAGGAGCTATTATCGTTTTGTTTTTCGTGGCGAGATGTCAAACTTTGAGGTCTGACCCCGCCCCTTCAGCATGCTTCGAAAAGCACAGTTTAGATAACTTTTCGTCCCCCATGCCTTTTGAACCAAATGGCCAAGTTTGAAACTGATTGAGCAAAATCCCTAGGAGGAGTTCGTTCAAATGTGGAGGCTGTAAACCGCCAGAAAGGTGTGAAATTTGGGACGTCATTTCAAAATGGCCGCCTTCCTGTTTATCGTCCTGTATTGGTGCCAGAGGATTTTCTGTTCATCTTGGGGAATTGGACAAGTGTACCAAATTTCATGTTTCTACAACAAACTAGGTAAGGTAATGCAGAAGGTATTTTGAAAATTTCCAGGTGGTGCTCTTGAGCCACTTCTTTTGCAATTTTTGCCATGCCATTGAAATATGTAATTTTTCACCAGTCCTGATGCATCTGCCAAATTTGTTGCGTATTGGGCTATGTTAAG